TTGGAGCTGCACCCATCCAAGCAATTGGACAGTATCCCAATACGCTCCTGTCTTGTGCCTTGCAGATGATGCACAGGCTTCTGGGAGTCAAAAGTTGATTTAATCACAAAATTTCTACCCACTTGTAGCAACGATATTTATATGACAGGTCCAATTCAGTTTCTCCTCAACATTTGCCCCCAGGATGTTTGAATAGGAAATCCAGTGAAAATAAATGAAAATAAAGTCAACTGGATATGGTTAGATTCACATTTGCCAGATTTGGTCATTGTCTGCTACTTGCGTGGTGCAAATGTTCTTTGTCACTTAGCAGGCTAAGCTTAAAAGTTGTCTAAGGCTACTGCATTTATGTTTGCACTGCTTCCGTAACAACATTGTGTAATCATCAGCAAACATTCCCACTTCTGCATTATCCGTTCAAGGTGAAGAAGGGTAAGGAGGTTAGCAGAGTGTAAGAGGGGAATATAAAGTAGAATCATAGAATCCCTACAGCATGCAAACAGGTCCTTCAGCCCAACCAGTCCACACTGACCCCCAGAGCATCCCATTCAGACCAATCACCCTATAACCCACCTAAGCTGCACATCTCTGACCACAACAGGTAGCTTAGCATGGCCAATCCACCTAGCCTGTACTTCTTGGGACTGTGGGAGCACCCGGAGGAAACTCCACACAGACATTCACCCGAGAGTGGAATTGAACGCGGGTTCCTGGCGCTGTGAGGTCGCAGTGCTAACCATGAGCCACTGTGCCACCTTAATTTCAATTCAAACAATATACAGCAAGTGATGATATCCTTTCAATCGAAGGCATTCTGCTAGCTCTGGAAACAGCCAAACCATTAAAAATGCCAATTTGTCCCTGGTGAATTGTCCCTGGTGAAGGGGTGAAAAAAACAAAAAAGGATCTTGTCTTTACATAGCACCTTCACAACCTCAAAAGTCGCAAAGTGCTTCATAGCCTCAGCTGTGAAATCAGATTTGGAATTTAGGAAGAAAAGTGAAAAGAATTAAGTTTCAGAAAAGAATCAACAGGAAAAGGCTGCCTGTGGCAGTCTTCATACTGAGCGGCAGTTTACTCGGACGCCCCATCTCCTAAAGTAGCAGCAACAACTGTTGAAACATTACAGGCAGCAGCCCATCAACCTCTGTAAGGCTGTTTGATTCTGAGAACGTTTACTTCTCTTGCTGAAGCTGATAGCCATCCAGACAGTTAAGACTGATTCACTTACCTAAAGGGTCATCACCTTCAAGCAAGACTGCCTACCGTCATCTCCGTGCAGTACCAGCCTATTCAAAACTACAGCTTTTGAAAAGGAGACAAAATCTGGCAATTCTGAATTGTTTCATTTCCAAGTTCTATTCTGCGTTAAGGGCTTAGATACCCACTGGCTGACAGGCAAATATCCTCTGTATTTACTCCAGCTGTACCTTTTATTCATTAAGCCCTAATTATTCTCAAAAAGCATATTTATGTATGGCTAGATGATAAGTGCGGTTTCACCTTTGTGGTTCTTTCTTTAAATCGTATCGATGTAGTTGACGGCTGGCCTAAATCAATGTTCATATCAGCTCTAAAGGAATGAATGAGGCAAACACAATAGCAACAGGTGAGCTGTAGAAAGGGCAGCGCAAAAGCCATCACTCAGCCTGGACTACAACAATAAGAACCGAAAGAACTGCGGATGCTGTAAATCAGGAACAAAAACAAAGTTGCTGGAAAAGCTCAGCAGGTCTGGCAGCATCTGTGAAGGAAAAAAAACAGAGGTAATGTTTTGGGTCCGGTGACCCTTTCTCAGAATCCAGCTGTTTTTTTTTTTCTTCACAGATGCTGCCAGACCTGCTGACCTTTTCCAGCAACTTTGATTTGGCTCCTACAACAATAGGAACTGGTTAGTGCCAGACAGGCTTAAAACTGTGGAGAGGGAGAGAGGGAGACAGGGAAGGGGAACACTTGGTGGGCATAGTGGCACGAACATTGAGGCAATGTCACGCTGTATCGCTCCACTTCAGTACCAATAGCACTGCAGCAAAGCCTACTACCTCTGCAGTTCATGAATCTGGCTAGTACAAACAAAATGGATCAGCTGTTCCTGTGGGTAGATCCTGTTCCAATGCCCACATTGTATTCATCGAGATCTAGGTTGTTCTGGGCAGCAACACCATGCACAGTTTGACAGTCCACAACTCTCAACAATGCACTAGGTTTGAATAGGGAGTACTAATCACCTGTTACAGCCAGAGTCTGAATGAAGGCAGAGCACATGTTTGGAGAAAAGAGCCAAGCAATCCAAATAAGCAAAAAAAAAAGAGCAGAAGGACTAGGTCAAACATTTTCATGTGCAAGTAGTAGAGAGAAACACTGTATTATATGCCACACAGGAGTAAATAAGCTTGGATGAGTAATACAGAGTAGGGCTGAATGAAATACATCCAAATAAAGGACATTATTATTGTAGCTCAGGTAGTTTAACGGTATATCCATAACAGTGAACAGTCAGCAGTCACTGAGGCTTCAGAGATCATCTGTATAATTTAAGATAGTCACAGAGGTGTTACTCTAAAAGGGAAGGCATGTACTGAGAGCAAGTGGTGGGGACAGGTAAGCTCTGAAGATTATACAGAAGTGTAATTCCTTTTGAAATTAGAGAACAGTATCTTGTTAATCTCAATCATTTACTGCAAAAAGTGTTTATTTTACACCAAGAGTTAGTAAGAACTGCCGCTGCTGGAGTCGGAGATAACACAGTGTGGAACTGGAGGAGCACAGCAGGCCAGGCAGCATCAGAGGAGCAGGAAAGTTGACGTTTCAGGTCAGGACCCTTCTTCAGAAATGTTCTGAAGGGTCCCAACCGGAAACACCAACTTTCCTACTCCTCTGATGCTGCCTGGCTTGCTGTGTTCATCCAGCTCCACACTGTGTTACCTCTTATTTTATATCAATACTGAATGTCGCTGTTGTGACACAAAAATGTATTAATATGCTGTTTTCAGCTGAAAATGGCTGAGTGTCTCCAAGCAAGACTTACAGACCTCTTCCACAGATATGTCCTATGAGATTGAGTAAAGTCATATTCTTACGATCTACTCAGGTCTGAAGACTCTATTTGTAAAAACCCCACATTGCGAACGAATAATATTTTCTGATGCCCATTGACTCTCGCTTTGTGATTCACTGATACACTAGTCTGTCAGATGGAGCCTTAATGTAGAGGATAGTCACTCTCAGCTCTGGAATTTAGCTGTTAGGTCCATGTTTGCACCAAGAATGTAAAGAGATCTGGAGTTGAGTGAATCTTGCTTAACTGAAACTGAGATTTATGAGCATGATATTGCAAAGCAAGTGCTGCTTAGCACAATTGTTGTTTCCTTATTGTGATTGCATTTACATATCGACAGTCCAGACGATTGACTGAAGCCTTGTCCACACACAGACCACCTGTACAGTTTCTCTTCACTGTGAACGATGCTTTTTCCTTCCTTGTTCCAAGGCTGGTGATACTCAGGTCCTGAGAATCGAGCATTGCTGGCAGCTCTTGATCTCACATTTGATTTGAACTTACTGTCTAATTGCCTGTAAGATAAATAGAAAACAGGAAGAAGTAAAATGAAATCCACTCGATTGCCATGAAAACCTACCTGGATCATTAGCTGACAATGCAGAAGTTGAGAAATAAAACACAAACCAGGCTGTGGGAACAGGCTGCAGTCGGTGGTTATTTCTGCAGAGCCAGCAGAGTGGGATGTTCGAGTGATGCCACAACAATGATGTCTATGTAACAAGAGAAAGTGTACAACTGGCTGACCATAATCTGTGCCAGTCTGTAACTGGATATGGAAATGTCCTAGGCTTGCTGAAACTCATTACTGTAAGCAAGTGGGAATTCATGTACTACCTTTAGGTATGAGCAATACCCCGAGCATACTGTTGAGACCGCATCTGGAGGACTGTGTCCAGTATTGGTTGGCATACTTATGGACGTGTCAATACATTGGAAGCAGTTCAGGGAAGGTTAATGACTAATGCCTGGAGTGAGAGGATTGCCTTATGAGGAAAGGCTAGACAGGCCTGTATCCTCTGGAGTTTAGAAGAGAAAGAGGAGACTTCACTAAACCATAAAAGATCCTGAGGGAACCTGACCAGCCGGATGCTGAAAGAAATGTTTCTTCTTGTGGGAGAATCTAGAAGTAGGGGTCATAGTTTAAAAATAAGGGACAGCCCATTGAAAAGAGTAACAAGGAAATATTTCTTCTCACTCAGAGGATTAATAGTATTTGGAATTCACTTCCTCAAAAGGCAGTGGATGCAGAATCTTTAAATATTCTTAAGGCGGAAGCAGATAGATTCTTCATGGCCAAGATGATGAATGATTGTTGGGGATACGCAGGCACATAGAGGTGAGGTTGAACCCAGTTCAGCCACAATCCTATTGAGTGGCAGAGCAGGCTCAAAGGGCCGATTCGCCTACTCTTGTTCCTCAGACATATATTTGAATAAACCAGCGAGCAAAGAAACTCAAGTCTTATCTAATTCCTGCGGGGTAGGAAGTTGTTTGAGTTCCCACTTCATCCACCCAGTGGAAATAGCTCCTCGCCATCCCCCTGACCAACTTCATTAACATCTTAAATTTTAATCAAATCATGCCTCAATCTTCTAAATTGTAGGAAATACAACATTCCTGGTGAGATGATGCATTTCGGTAAAAGGGCAGAGAACATTTGAAATTGGAGCTGAAGTAGTCCATTTGGCTCCTCCAGCCTCAAAAAGGTCATAGCTGATCTACGTAGGCTTCAATTCGAAAATGTCTTTTTTCAAAATTTGATCATGGAATGCCGGCATCACTGGCTGGTTCCAGTGACCTTTATGAAGATGGTGACCTGCCTTCTTGAACCACTGCAGTCCATAGGCTGTAAGTCGACTCGCAATGCTGTTAGCGAGGGATTTCAGGATTTTGATCCAACAACAGTGATATATTTCCAAGTCAGGACAGCGAGTGGCTTGGAGGGAATTCATGCCCAACAAAGAGTCTCAAAGATCTACAGCACAGAGAAAAACACTCTTCTGACTGTCTGATCTTGTTACGATCCTCCAAGTACTTTATTAATACACCTTTTAGAGTGGACTTTAGCATTTTTCCCATAACCAGCATCATGCAAATTCCCTATTTTCTCTCTGCTTCCTTCTTAAATATTGGGGTTATGTTAGCTATGCTCAAATCTACAGGAACTCTTT